AATACAAATATAAACTGAAATATCCCCGGACCGAACTAATGAAATAATTGAATACTCCAGTCACGACTCTGTTTTTTTATTTTTCATATTTCTTCCTCTCTTCTCTCATCAGTCAGTGTAGCAGGATGAAGGGATGAGATTAATTGCTGGTGTCTCCTGCGTTGTCTCGTCTTGCCAGTCAATCCTGGACCATTAGGTTAATTACTGAGACGAGACTCACTGCTGCAGAGACAGTAGATCATTGGACGGATGTCGTCTCCCTCTCACTTTGCCTGAAGAGGTTATGGACAGTGAGAGTTTAACACACGCTGACAGACTGAGGGTGAAGCAGAGATGTAAAGCTGATTACATACAGGCCCTGAGGTGAAGGTTCAAAAAAGTGTTTTCTCAACACAGAAATAGATTTGATTTACTTCCTAACTCATGACCAGGACCAGAAATCTTCATCTCTTCTTTTGAGTTTATTATTAATGTATTGAAATGTTGTTTCACCATAAAACAAGTGAAACCAACCAAACACAGAAGTGAATCTTTCTCCTGCATTAATTCAGCTCTGTGCGCGATAGACTTTGAAACAAGTGATCTTTTAATTAAATCCCTCAGCCTCCGCAGCACCATGTTCATATTTAATCTGCACACTCACTTTGTAAAGTTCAACTTCGGCTGCCTTTGACAGAGAGTCAGAATGCATCAATGAGGAGAAGCTTCAAATCAAGATACAGAATTGATGTTCAAGTCAAATGTGCTTTGAAAATAAACAGGATTCAGTTATTGCTCCTCATTTAAATGAAGAACACAAGGGTGACAACATTTAATTCATATTTCTAGTGTGATGCTGTTCGAGGTTTGTTTGAATCCATTATTTAGGTTTTAAAATTACAGATTGTCCGTTTAATACAATGCATTTTAAAAGTTGCTGTCACTTTGTTGTGGAGGCAGAAATATTTCCCAGTGGATGCATGAAACAGCCTCATTAATAATCACACCGGTGATGCTCAGTGTGTGATTATAGAACAACGTGAAGTGACTTCTTCCGTCTCATTTAAAGTTTGTCGTCAGCAGCAAACCTTGAACAGAAGTGGTGTTTGTTTGACCAGCCAGTCTCATGACGCTGCGTAGGCTGCTGCCTCTGCCTCCATCATTAACACCTCATACTGGAGCTCTGTGCTGTCTGGCACTCGGAGATGCTGCTTCACATTAATTGACACTGTGGGAATATTCAAACGCTCTCAGTTAAGTGAACCTGAGGAGAAAGTTGGGTCTGCTAAGCAGAGGACTTAAGTGGGCTGAGTCGATGGAGGAATGGAGGGTGAGTGAGTTTAAAAGCCCGATACGATTCAGCTGAAATACAGAAAACCAGACGCTACGATCACGTAACAGACATTAAACCATTAGTCTGACTTTTTATATGTCATGATGCCTGGTTTCGTTAAGTGCGGCACAGTTCATTCATGAAACTCAAAATGTATTCCATTATCTGCTGAAATCAAAGTCTCATGTTGCTGTCGAATGTTTTAAATGTCATTTTAACGCTTTAAGAAAACAAAGAAAACTTGATTTAAAGTGAATTTGACGTGTTTGTCTCAGGTTTAGATTTTGTCCTGCTTTGTGGCGTCCTGCTCTCAAACACCTGCTGCCGCACCACCTCATCTTTTCTCTTCCTCCTCCCCAGTATGTTGAGGCCATCAGCAACAAGCAGAGCGAGCTGGACAACTACATCGCAGAGGGCTACAAGAACGCTCTGTCGGAGGAGAGGAGGAGGTACTGCTTCCTGGTGGACCGTCAGTGTGCTGTGGCCAAGACCAGCAGCGTCTACCACAACAAGGTGAGGAGCAGCGACACTTACATTTCTATTCCTCTGCTGGTTCGTCATCAGGTGCGTCATGGCAACGTTACATCTACAGCTGGATGAGGTCAAACTTGTAAACTGGTTTTATAAAGAAAGTATAAATGTAGATCAAACACACGTACGATTATCTTACATCACATCTTTCTGTCCCAAACAAAACTGTGACTCAGTGTTTTCATTCATGAAACAACCACAAGTGTCCGACACTCGGGGACACTCGGGGACACTCGGGGACACTCTGTCTTGAATCTGCATCAGTTTGGACATTCTGGAGTTTTTTTTGTACATCATCATCATCAGAGCTTCTCTCTCCCGCCTCTCACTCCTCTCACCGGAGGAATGTGAAGTGGTAAAGTAATCTGAGAGCGGACGGACGGATGATGGAGAGGTGGAGGATGAGTGGGTGAGGAGGCGGGTGAAGGGGGAGGCGGGGAGGGTGACCCACTTCTGCGAGAACACTCAGTTCAGACTCGGTGTGTGCGAGGGTGTGAAAGTGTCTGAATGAGTGACGGACGGACGGAGGAAGCTCACAACACAAACTGCTGCTGTGACGATGCATCAGCAGCAGAAGATCTGAATCAGTGTTGAACTCAGTGATGATTCTCACTCAGTTGTTATTTGCTTTGATTGTTTCTGTAAAAAACACAGTTCAGTTCAATTTAAATAAGTGTTTTCAGCATCATTACAATCAACCTTTCATAATCAATATTCGTGTTGTGCATGATGCTAATTTAATTCTCACTATAGAACTAAGAACCCTCCGTGGTGCCACTGCTCAGGAACTGTTTACAGCAGCTTCGTCAATCAACAGAAAATGAATTGGCAGCTTTTTGATAATTGTTGTTTAACATTCTCTGGTGTCACTTTTCTTTTTCTTATGTGAAACTGAATTTAACGGTTCATAAAAATATTACACAAAGTCTTCATAGTCAAATGAATGGACACCGACCACCTACACTCCACTATAGATATTCCAAAGGGCCAACTGAGGCTGTGGTGACTCATGGTTTCACCAGGGTCAGACTCACTGCTGCACGCTCACACATCTATAGTGATGTCGAGTCTCTTGAGAAGGAAGCGCCGGTTGCAATGATTTTCACGTGCATTGTCCCCAAGTGCAAAGAGCCGGAGAGAAATTCAATCAGGCAGCATCACTGTTGCACACACTAAATATGCATCATTTAAATTCTTTTTAAAGAAAATCTGAATTCATGTATTAATCTCTGGGAAATCTGCAAGAATATCATGAAACACCCGATCACTCGATGTTGGAGAAGCCAAGAAAACGAGTCTTGGCTCTGCATCGTCTTCAGAATCCACGCCAGCATGAATTGAGTCCAGATCCTCACTTGTAGTTTTTCTGACAAACAAACAATCGGACAGAGGTGAAACCTTGTCGGAGGTAATAACCTTCATATAGAACTTGGGGAATAAAAATCTGTTTCAGAATGAAAGGAGAGCTCAGTGACACAATGCTTCATGTGTTCATCTCTTTTGTTGTCGCTGTACTTTGTGTTAATTTATCTGATCTTCCCGCCCACACCCTGACACCTGAGGCTGCGGCCCACACACACTCAGCAGGTCCAGACAACCTTGGAGCCGCACTGTGATTATCCTCCACACCAGCCTGCTGGAGTCAGAACTATGTGCACGGCAGATTCTCCTCGGTGTCCTTCCAGTATTCATGGATTCAGATGATGAATGCAAATGAAAAGTATCTTTATGTAACCGCCCTGCTCTATAATGTATGGAGGGGATGTAGCTCAGCCCGTCGAGCGGCGGCGGAGAGCTTCTGAAATCGGAGCGTCGGTTTCTCTCTCTCTCTCTCTCTCTCTGTGTCGCCTCTCATCTCTCTTCCTGTCTCTTGTGCTGTGCATCTACTGCATGTTCCCCCTCATCCTCTCCTCCTCTCCTCCTCTCATCCACGGAATATTTCTGCTAAATGTGAATAATGTTGACTTCCATTGGGAAATTCTCTCCAGCAGTTTGAGCAGCATTAGCTCTGGAGGTTAGCGACAGTATATTTAGTGATTTGTGTCACTGAACTAAAGGTATTTGAGAACTTTAATGAATTTGTTTCTTCGTTGCTCTGTTTCCTCACCCCCACCCTCACCCCCTCTCTCCCTTCTCTCCTGCAGGGAAAGGAGCTCTTATCTCAGAAGATCCCGATGTGGCAGCAGGCGTGTGCCGAACCCAACAAGCTGCCAGATCGTGCCATGTTTCTGGCCCAGCAGATGAGCGGTATGGTGGGCACCATGGCTCCCGGTGCTCTTCATCCAGGCATGCCCATCGCTGAGTCCATCCCTGGTGCTAAACCTCTGCCGGTGCCTCCGGAGCTGGCAGCGTTCAGGGCCAGTGGGGGAATGGGACAGCAGGTCTGTTTCTCTCGTCCTCCTGAGACCTGTGCATTGTGTTCTATTGATAACACCTGGAGTCATTGTGGGTCTTTATGCTGCATTAACATGTCACTGTCACTAGAATACATGATACACATGATGGTCACCATATTGACATCATTCATTTCCTATTCCTAATCTTATTTCTAAGTATATATTAATATTAGAATCAGGTTAGTTATCCCCAACAAGTTCTCAAGAAGGTGAGAAGTGGAGCCAGAATGTCCTCTGTTAGAAATGATGCCCATTTTTTTAAGGACATCTTCACTGTCAAAGTGTAAAACTCAGAGAGATGGAAGCACAAACACACAAACACACAAACACAGGTTAGTGTTGTCTGATCAAACCTTAATAAAGACCTGAGTGTGGCTTCATGATGGAAGCTCCACGCGTCCTCTGGAAACTCTGCATGAATGCAAATGAAATCATTAGTGAACCATGTTAATTAGCTTGTTGCACAGAAGCAGCTTAAATTCCTCACATCCTCTGGCTCTTCTACATCCTGCCCCCTCCTCCTCCTCCTCTTCCTCCTCCTTCTCCTCCTCCTCCTCCTGCAGTCCTGCTCGCAGCAATAACTTGAAGAGTATCATGAAAGAGCGTCTCAGTGTTTGAGCTTCTAAAAGAAAACTGTGCTGCAGATTCAGTTTCATGTTTGCAGATTAAACGCACTTGAAATTCTTTTCCCAGTAATGATTCTATATGTTTATCTTCCAACCAACATTCTTTCAAACATTGTTTTTTATTAATCAGCATTTCCTGACCCACATCCACTCTCCACCAGTTCATTAATATTAATGAGCTGCTCGATGTGATGTAACAGGAGAACGTGTTCTGCAGTGTTTTAATTGCCTCTGTGCAAATGTCTTTTATCTTTGCAGAGGCTGATGGGAGGAGTGGAAGCAGGGATGCCGGTGCTGAACGGCACGTCCGGCGCCCACGGAGGAGAAGACTACCAGCAGTGGATGGAGGGCAAAGTGGCCCAGGGCAAGGCCTCGCCCCAGACCCAGCGGCACGGAGGGGAGGTCTACTCCAACACCCTGCCGGTGCGCAAGGCCGCCCCCGCCAAGAGCAAGACCACGCTGAGTAAGGACACATTGTGCACCGTGTCCGACTCTTTCAAAGGATGTGATGTGGCTCCATCAACATTTAATCAGGCTGTTTGGCAAAGATGATGACGACAGTAAATTTATAGTCATAATTATTTTGACATTAACAACTACACGTGATGGTCTAGTCAGGAAGTGGTCTGATAACTGAGCGGGGTCTTTGTGGGCGGAGTTCTCCACGTGTTCACGCAGCCTTTGTGCCCTTGATGAGTTTAAGATGTGAGCCTTTGATCTGATAATATATCACGTGTCAGGTGGTGTCGCGGATGTAACACACGACCTGTGCACTTTTAATAAGAAACAGTCTGAAGCACGAAGGAATAGAAGCAGACGTGATAGTGAAAATGTGGAATAGAGATCACGAGTAAAATGTGTTTATGAGAAAAGTCCGATGTAGATTCCTCCAGATATAGATTATAACAGAATGCCCCCCCCCTCCGTACTTCCACCAGTGGAGACTCGCACTCTGCCCCGGTCCAGCTCCATGGCTGCAGGGCTGGAGAAAAACGGGAGAACTTGTGTCCAGGCCATCTTCTCTCACGCAGCCGGTGACAACAGCACCCTGCTCAGCTTCTCTGAGGGCGACGTCATAACCCTGCTGGTCCCCGAGGCCCGTGATGGGTGGCACTACGGAGAGAACGAGAAGACGAGGATGTGAGTGCAACTCACGTGTTCAATTCTTGCTAAATAGTCTCATAATATTTCTTTGCCACTCCTGCAGATTTCATCAAATCTCCCCCATATTTAATGAGGGATTCAAAATACTAAATTGGCAGATTTGTTTGTTCTGTGGCTCATATCCGGTGGCTTCTCCTGCAGGCGTGGCTGGTTTCCCTTTTCCTACACCAGGGTGATCTCTGACGGTGACAGTGACTCCATGAGGCAACTTCGGGCACACAAGTAGGTATTTAGCTGTCCCCAAAAAGTATTACATTATTAAACATTAAGATAAGATATTAAGAATTAACTTCTTAATGTGTATTGGATGTGACCTTGATGTGCCTGTGCATTTTAAATCCTTCCAAAGAAACAATCGTGAATGTTCTTTCCAAACCAACAACCCACTGATGGCTCCCTGCAGACCTTCGTCCTGATTGCTGACATGTGTTCTGTGTTTGCAGCCTCAATCACGGGAAGAGCAGCAGCACAGGGAACCTTCTAGAGAGGGAAGACATGGCTCTGCCCGTCCCTGATTACGGCATCCACGCCCGCATGGCAGCACCGAGCGCCGCAGCGCTGCACGGCAGACAACAACGCCCCTACAGCGTGGCAGTGCCAGGCTCCTCACAGGTGGGGGGGGCCTGAAAAACAACCACACAAACACACACACTGGCAGAATCTGACACATAATCTGAGCCGTCTGGAGAAACTCTCGTTGAGCTTGTCACTGCGTTGAGCTGACCTGAGGAGCAGCGCAGGAATATCTTCACTGCTCGTCTCCTCCGTCACCAGCCACAGAGAACGCTCTGCTACATTAGCTTCTGTAAACGCACAAATCAGATCTGCTTCACTTCACATGTTGATGCAGGGTTGAGATGCGGAGCGGCTCAGAATGAAGGAGTCGGCCTGAGCGGCTGACTGCCCCCTCCTCAAGCTTCAGTTGATAAGAGAGAGAGCGTTTGGAGCGAGCAACAAACCACAGTGGACTGAAATGTCTTAAGAGTTGTCCAACATTAAAAATATCAATTTCAATTCTGTCCTGGCATCAACATTTAAAATCTTTTAACCTGCAAACTTAAATAATTGTCACTGGAGAAACCGCAGCTTTAAAATCACAGTGAGGTTTCAGCACAGACACTTCAGTGGAAGGAGAGAATCTGTTGATGTTGATCTGATTCTTCTTAATATCCAGCTCCACCTGTTCACAGCTCACATTCAACCATGTTTCTTTGCTGTCATCTGCTGGTGGTTGTGGTCATTGCAGCATCCATCTGTCAGTTTTATACGTTTTCATAACGTCGGCTCAGAATGAATCATGGGACTAATTCTCCTGTTGGTCTTTTCAGCACGGAGTTGAAGAGTACGAGCCTCGTTTCCCCACAAGGTAAGAACCACTTCACTTGTTCTCAATCAGATCTGGTTCATATGATTCCAGTTCAGTCAGTTCAGTGTTACAGTTCAAACGTGTAGATTTGGTCAGCAGGACACACACACACACACACACACACACACACACACACACACACACACACACACACACACTCACACACTCACACACACACATTTTCCTTTTTAATGTTTTGTGTTCTTTTCTGTTTCCATTTCTGTTCTGTTCGACATGAAGCCATAGGTGATAACATCATGTAGTGATTAGTGGTAACACAATAAGGCTTTGTTGTGTGTTTGGATGATAAGTCCAGGTTGTACTGGACCAATAGAAACTAGAGGCTCACACATACCTCTGCCAAGGCGGATGCCCCATCTCTCCACCTGAGAGAGAAGAAATCAGATCTACTCCAGAAGTAAATCGATTCCCTCGGGGCTCATGACGCACCCCGTCACTAAACCTTAAGGAAATGGGTTCAGTAGTTTGTGTGTAATCCTACAAACACAGATGGAACGTCTCCTCCTTGGCGGCTGTGATAAAAGAGTTTATTATATTTTAAAGTCTGTTTTTGATTATTTTGGTTTAAGTTTTCAGCTTAAGTTGATTTAAGTTTTCTTTTTCTTTCATTAATATCAAAGCACTCATGCTTTCACCTCCCAGCTCCTCCTCATGCACCATGCAGCTGCTTCCACCTCCTAACTGCACCCACCCACCCAATCCCTGATAAGCTCCCCCAGGTTCAGCCCCTTCACAGCCGAGGTTGTTAAAACACAGATTCATGCAACAGGAAGTTAAGACTCAGCTCAGACTCTGTTTGTGCCTCGTCATGTGTCCTGCTTGTGTTTGCTGCTGTTTCTCCTGAGCCGTCCTCCTGGAAGCCTCTCCCTCTCTCTGTCCACAGTTCCACAGAGGGCAAATTGATTTCCACAGTGTGAGGACAGACAGACAGACAGACTCAGCCAGACGATGCAATAGGACAGGCACCTCGCTGCCCTTCAACCGACCCCCTCCCTCCCCTCTGTCCTGCCTCCCTCCCTCCCTCCTGCTTATGGCAATAAACTCTTCCCCAAGTTGATCAATGCCACGAAGACGCTCGGTTGTTTGTCTTCTCCCCTCTCTGAGCCTCACCCCCTTTTCCTCAGTCCTGCCTCGTCCATATCCTCCCCCCTTTCTGGACCTCACCCCCCTCTCCCCTTTTCCACCAATCCTGCCTTGTGCTGTCTGACCGTCCGGTAGCCACGCCGGGCCGCTGGTGGAGCCTGGGCGCAGAGCCACGCCCAGCCAGACCCGAATAAAATGGACTCTGTGCCATCCGAATATTCAAAATCAAAGTGATGGACATTTTCTCTGAGGAAAAGTGTATCTTTTGCTTGTCTTTCATGCATGTACATTTCCTTTATTTACCACCGGGATTATCTCTCCCCACCGAAGGAACCTGGTTCTCACAAATGTCCCTCCATCACGACGATGTAAAGGATTTATGTAAATCAGGGTGTAAGTTGATCCCAAAGAGGATTTTCATGATGTAAAAACGACATTACAATCAAAACCTTTACTGATTCTCTCAGTATTTAACAGTAATAACTTTGTTTTGTACTCTGAGATAAGAGTTTATGTATCACGAGTAGTGAACCGATAATTCAATGTTTGAACGGAGACGGTGTAATGGGAATGTTTACTGTACATAAATGTGCCATATACAGAAGTGCTTGTCTTAAAGTATCTATGATCAGTTCATAACCAAATGCACCTTATAAAAGTAATAGTCTATATTTCTGACTTCCTGTGAACAGAGTATCGGTCTCATCGTCTGTAACGGAGGGCGACTGTGTTCAGACACACAAACACTGGTGCTCGGGCTCCTTCCTCTATTTATTGTGATGTGTGAATATCATGCCGAGGCTGAATGGGGTCAACGAACCCTCGTCCCTGACAGACACAAGGCTCAGAGTTGGTTTAGTAATGAAACGCACTGAAATTAAAAATATCAGAATTGGTTTGGTCGGTTTTAAAGTAGAAAAGTTTCATATTTGGTGGTTGCAGCTTTTAAAATTCAGCTTTTACTGATTGTAAATTTTATTTATTTAATTTTAGACTGTTGCTTAAACAACAAACTCAAATTAAAGACTTTTAGAATTTGGATGAATTTTTTTATTATCTTTTTTAAAGTCAAAAGTTGTTCATGCATGAAAGAAAAGACAACTGGTACTCCCGTTTGGCCCCGTGCACATGGTCTCAAACATCGCTTCTTATTTCCAAACACTTTTTCTATCTTTTCGTGCCTCTTATTGATGTTTTCATGGCAAATGAGTCTGAAAATCATCTGGATCCAGAGGAATGAACGATGCATCTGGTGTTTCGTGATAAGTGTGTGGTCTAACTATACCACGCAGCCTTGATGAGCAGAGGAGGTGACTCCATGTTGAAACCTCATTCAGCCTCCTTGTTCTTGTGCTCTTTGCAATTAAAGGCGTGATTTTAAAAACCTCAGTGAGTAGAAAGCATCGTGTTTTGCAGAAAAAAAGAAGTTTGTCTGATTCTCTCTGTGCTGAATAAAGAAGCTGCTCGTCTTTATGTCGGTCCAGTTAGTGCCTGTCTTCTAACCACTGTCCCTCTGTCGGCATCTGATGTCCCCTAACCACCATTTAGTTTCTCTCAGCTTTTAAATCTCATGCGTTTTGAAACATTTAGAAAAAAGAGAGAAGGTGAAAATGTAAACTGTGCAGCTCTGCTCTGCCTCCTACTTTGCAAAAATGTCTGCACCAGATATTTAATATATATAATATATAATGAAGAGTCTCAAAATGTTTTTTTCTTTAAATTAATGAAAAAGTGATGCAGAAACTTTCCCTCAACAATTGTTAAAATTCCAGATCCTGTTTCCTTTTTCACTTTAAAAGAAAAATGTTTTCAGACTTCACGTGAGACCTCTTTGCATCGTAGAGACGTGTCCTCTCTGTGTCTGCTGTCTCTTCTCTCTCCGGTTTGTCTGTGACCTAACACTCGTCTCCCCCCTCAGCTTTGCCAACGCTCCTTTTTTTCCGTCTCTGTTTTGATAAATTTAGAAACAAAAGTCGAGCACAAACGACTGGAAGCTGCCAGTGTTTCTTCTTTCTCCACTAAAATAAGTCCAAGGTACGACTGCCACCGCTGCAGAGACAGCACACCAATCACCTGTGGCCAAAAAACTCCTGCATCGACTGATGTGCTTTTATTTTGATGAGTTTTGTTGTGAAAGGAAAAAAAGAACCTGAATATTGTACAGAGACTTTATGTGCATGCTTTGGGGGCGCCAAGAAGTGTAAAGTTGAGGACCTCAAATGTATGGTGAATTTATAAATTAAAAAAGTCTAAAATAAATTTATTCAGCCGAACGTTTCTGTTGTTTCGTCTATTTTTAAGGTTTTTGCTTCACAAGAGCCAGAAATCTTCCTTTTTGTTAAATTAGTTACATGTAATGTTTTATTTTTATTATTTGGTGAAAAGCAGAACTTTCTGAAACTTTAGCAGCTTAAAATGCCTCTGACAGACTTGAGTGTTTCTCATAGAACATTTGATGTCAGCTGACAGTTCCCTTCATAACCTCCCACCTGCACTGCTGCATGTACTGTGTGTGTGTGTGTGTGTGTGTGTGTGTGTGTGTGTGTGTGTGTGTGTGTGTGTGTGTGTGTGTGTGTGTGTGTGTGTGTGTGTGTGTNGTGTGTGTGTGTGTGTGTGTGTGTGTGTGAGAGGGTGTGTTACACTGCATCCTACCCGTCCTGACCTGCCGCTGCCATAACACCGCTGGCTCCTCCTTCTAGCAAAGGTACTTTTTTTTTAACTCAACTGCATCTTTGTGTCGTAATCGCAGCGTTTTCATTTTATAGCTTCACTGACTGGTTTTGTTCAGATTTACTTTCTTTGCCCGCCTGCTTCTGGTTTCCTGTTTCCTGGTGTAAATATATTGGGGTCATAATTGACTTGGTGGTGTTGTGTGTGGACTCCTGATGTGTTCGGTGTTATTGTTCATGTAACATTTGAATTTCATTCGACGTGTGAGTTACCATGAATATGAAAAGACCATTGTTGAGTTTGACTTGCAGCCTCCGCAGCCTCAACACTGCGTTTAGTTGATCCTGCGTCGTGATCACTGACCCGGTTAAAGCAGTACAATTACATTTTGCATTTTAATCCAGTTAAAGTCAACAAGTAAAAAGAAACAGAAAATGTTTGATAGAAGAGTCTTTTTCATTTTTGCACCAGCTTGACTAACTTGTCATATGAAGTTAAAATGGAGGCTCAGTCATGGTCAGTCATGGTCTTGTTTATTTGCACGGTAACGTGTTAAAGTGTAGTAGTAGTAGTATTTAGATATGCATGCTGTTTAATAAGAACAAAGAGTGTGAGCATTAATTCTCCCTGTGTGTAAAATGTCTCTCGGTGTTTGAGAAGATCCTGAGTGTTGACACATGAGGACTGTTTCTTCCTTTCAGCACAGGGCCTGATTACGCCCGATTCTGAAAACCCAAAAACCATCGTAAGTGACTGAGCTTCATCGTCAGGGTCTTAATCCGACCTCTTCATTTCTCAGTGTTTCATAATGTTCATGAAAAACTGCTTCACTGTGTCGTCGGCTTCTGGTGTCATTGAGCATCTTCTGGGTTATTTCACTGTGTTTGTTCTGTATGTGACGCTCAACGCTCCCTCCTCCTGTTTGCACGACTCATCCCACTTTTTATTTCCTTCACATGTTGCTGAAAAACATCCTCTGCTGTCTGCTGCCTTTTGTTTGCATGACTTTCATTCTGCTTTATGTCATAAAAAAATAAGATAAATGTTGATTTGACTTTATTCTTTCTCTCCTTCCCCCAGCGACTATCCACCGGGCGAGCCGGTCGTGGAGGCCCCGGCCAGACCCCTGCTTTCTGACGAAGAGGATGAAGAGGAGGGTGAGGATCAGCTCGACGAAGCTCACTACGACTCCCTGGAGAAGACCTCAACCCTCGCAGAGGAAATCTGAGCCCCCCCCCCCTCAGTTCGAATCAGCTGCAGGTGGATCTCTGGTGCTCGACTGCATCGTCTCCCCACAGCTGCAAAGCTCCGAATCAACCACATCATCACTTGTGTGATTAAATAAAGACGCAGCACGACAATGATACAGTAATCTGTGTATTAGGTGAGAGATCATGTAAATAATAATTAAACTTGATCTTCTAGCGTTGAAGCACATCGACAGTCAGAATAATATCAAGTCGATTGTTTAGTTTCTGTAAAGACGTGCTCACATAGTGATGGACACTGGACGTGTTTCACCAACGTCACCTTTAAATCAAGCACGTGGTGTCTCACTTAGATTCTTGGTTCATTGTCAAAGAACTTATTTCTGACGTCTGGCTCCTGTAAACTCACAGGAACTGTAGCTGCTCTGAGACGTCGCCTGAAGACGTCTCTGTGTAATTAAACTCAGCTCTCCTGTCCCCACCTGCAGCACAAGGGCTTAAACGTTGGTAAGATACACGTCTCACGAGGGTTTTCACCTTTTAGCCTCACATGTTGTTACTGACGCCTCAAAGGGCAAATTCACGATGCGAGAAAACAGTATCTTCACTTCACTGTATACTTATACTCAATCTTATACTCTGAAATGTTAGTTATAAGCAGCACTGAAGGTGTTTGTACCTAGAAGACAATGATAAAGTTCTGGTTCTCAGATTTCATTGATTAATGTTCATCAATGTTGTTTGTAGACAAATGTTTTGTTAAATCTGGTTAAAGGAACATTTTCCTCAGAAATATTCTGTTATTCAATCAGAAACATTGTGATTTCATTTAGTCTTTTATCATGAAATTACTGTGGTGAGAGAAAAACAAAGTTACACCAATACAGGTCCAAATACACTGAGCTGATATTTATCTTTCTGTTTAAAAATTTAATTTCAGTAATTTTTCCTTGTTTTGAGATTTGTTTTCTGGACAAGGACAATCGAGGTGTTTGGAATTTACTGACATTGTGCAGTTGCTCCGGATGAAACAGTTGTCAGTGAATTTAATTATCTTCAGTCTTCCTTTCTTTGAGCATCATGAGGACATTTCTATTTACCTTAATGTCTCCACACTGCGGAGGTAGAAGTCCGAACCTGGACAACTGTCTGCTCTTACTCACAACGGGTGAGTGGAAAGATCTGTTTTTGTAAAGTGGGTGAACGTCCACTTTAAGTTTGACTATTAAAATTAAAATGATTTGAGTATTTAAAATTAGGATCTAAGAACATTTAGAGCAGCTGAACTTTAAATCTTGTGTGGAGACGATGCACTGACGACAGATCCCAACCAATATCATGACGGGCGTTAATTCAAATACAGATGTTGAGTGAAGTCAAACGTTCAACAGACTTTAAACTTTCCACTCGTGGAGTTCAGATCATTTCCTCTTCTAAATAAAGACGCTCTAACATAAATAAATCCTGTATTGGTGTAACTCTGATGAACTAACACAAGTCAAACACTTCAATTTTTGTATTGTGATAGAAAACAAAGTGTTTTTTAAATTCAATTCTGAGAATAAAGGATCAAGTATTTACCCACAGTGTGCTGTATATGTTGTGTATAAGTACTGCAACGCTGGGGTCACACTACGCAACATGTGGATTTGTAAACTACACGTTATCTGAACTATTCGTATCATTCGTGCGTCGCGTTTAGAGTTAAAGAGTAAGTTTTGTTGAGTCAGATCTTTATCTCACTTTGAAGCTCTCGGCTTAAAAAACACATCGAAACACAAAAACACAGATTGTTAAATTTGCTTTGAATTTAAATTCTCCATGTTTAGATGATTCAGAAAATACAGTTATTCCAAATTAGAAGTGTGGTCAGAGACTCAGACCTCCTTCAAGCCCCCACAGTCTCCTAAAGGAAGCACATTTAAATATCTGCTCAGATATCATCCCTCTAAACATTTCTGATTTTCTTTATCGGGATTCATGAATTATTCTCTGAGAAATCAAATGTTGAAAAACCTCGTTCATCCAACCGGTAGTTTTTACTTCATCCTGCCGAACAACAGACAGAAGACAAACACCTGATGAAGCCATGAAGTGGATTCACAGGTCCAGAGAAAATGTAAGATGTGTAAAACAGACTTTATTTATATTTGATAGAAGGTACAGAAGGTAACGATGTGTCCAGGTCAGTGTGGAGACACATTACTGACGATATTCTAAACCAAAACCTCTCCTGCACGTTTATTTTTTAAAGATCAGTTCAAAGCTCCCGTCGTCCTCCTCGTGTGTCACCACCACACGGACCGCTCTCGCCCCGGAACCACAACACAGCAGCTCTTTGGCAAAAATAAACAGAGACATTATTTTAAACTTCCCTCACAGGTTCAGTACATCAATGCTCTCAAAAGTATTCTTGTGGAAATACAAAAATATTACAGATAGTCGTCTAGATGGTTCTATGCTGCTAACGTACAGAATATTAAAGAGGCAAACAAACACGTGTTGATCACATTTAGAACTTCAGAGCCGACAAGTCTGAACGACCACACGTTCTCACAAGCAAAGCATGATCATGACATCAGCTCCGTCCGTCGATCAGCTGATCGGACACATTGAACATTGATCCGTCACATGAAAACATCTTGGCTCTTTAAATATTTCATCCTATGACTCTTTGTTGGCGCTCCCACTCGTCCTTTTTAAAATAAATGATTATTATTTAGAGGAAACCTTTTTCCATCTAAGAGCAGAATCAAACAAAGCTGCTCCGAACGAGCTCATCTCAGCCAAAATACAGCAACTGTGTCAGTAACAGTGAAGTCAGGTCAGTTCAAAACAGATACAAAGGTAGAAATGAGCTGAAGCTGTCAAACTGAATTTAATCTTCTGGTTTACATATGAAAAATCCTGTTGGTTCAGACTAACAGAGATTTGTAATACTGTCGGGCGGGTGTGGATTTTGATATCGCGGCTTGAGTGAGATGATGATTCATACATTTGTTATCAATCCCTTTAATTTCTCTCATTGTACCAGAGTCTTTTTTGACAATGTTGGATTTTCAGGATTTTTGCATCAATGTGATGAAGTGCTTTGTTTTGTCTGGTATTAAACTGGATTAACAAAAACATGCGATCATCTGAGGCTCCTCCTGTTGGCCCGCGTCATCATCATCAGAGGAGCTGCAGTCCAGATACTGAACATCTTTTGTTTTGGAGCTGCGACATGAGAAAGGATTTCAGTGACCACGTGTCTTTGTCTCAATTCCAAAAACTCGTCTGTCTCCTAGTTACTTGAAACCATGCATCGCTATATTTGAAACTAATCCCTTCACTTCTTGTTACTATGGTGACATCGTGCCTGATTTAACACAGTTTGGTTGTGAAGGTGCTGCCGAGAGAGAACGAGCCACATATTCATGTAAAACAGCACTGGAGTGATTTCTAATATAAAAAACAAGAAGAGAAAATATCAGGTTGTCCACGTTCGCTCGGCTGTTTCCACAAAATAACATTCAGAACCCAACCAGGGGCCGTTCAGATTCCTGTGTGACCTTCGTCTCTGCACGAATCCAAATATTCACATCATATTACTTGTGATACCTCAGAGATTCTCCTTTGTGTTCATTAAGACAAGTAAAGCAGTTTCTGAAAAAGTGGGTGGAGCTGTACAGTCTTCGTCAAAAAGCCCAAAACTCAAAGTGACAGATGAACACGTCTCCTCCAGGTGGCGCCACGCTCTCAGCTTTACTCCCCATCATAAATTAAGAAGTGAACCAGGTGATTTATTTTCAAACGGCTTCCATTTGTCTTTTTAATCTGAAAAAATTCAACAAACAAATTTCCCCTGCTTTCAAAGATTCTTTACATCCAGTATATATTAATATTCTGTAAAAGTTTGATATATTAATCATAATCTTGAAGTTTAGGTCCTACACCGTGGTAAGACTTTTCCAAAGTGTCCACAGGAGTGAGAGGCACTGTCTTGTGTTTCTAAAACCTGACGTTATGAAATAATTCAGGAGTCATGCTAGAAGCCAAACTGTGGTCAAAGAGGCAGGAAATATCCACAGCTCGTTACTCTTTGTCTCCGTCCTCGCTGCTTCCTGCAAAACACAGAAAACATTCATGTGGTTTTTACAGAAATCTTCATCCTCCAACTATTGATTTCTAAAAGTTTTATCTCATTTTAATCTAATTCTTAAGCAAAATGTCTCCGTGACAGTCTCATACAAGATTAAAGTATTTTATTCAAACCAAACAAACTAAAACACGTTCAAACAAGATAAGAATAGATTTAGATTAGAGCCTTAATGATAAAGACTTCAATTCAATCAGAGAGGAGCCAAGTTCTGATTCATGTTTGAAAGTTGAACAAGAAGCACTTTTATTTTGATAAAAATATTTTCACGTCCAGAAAATAAACAGGAAATTTCAAGAATAAAGTCATTAACTATGTGGAAAAAACAAAATATTATGAGAATAAAGTCGTAGTATTACAAGAAATATGTTGTAGATTTATGAGAACTCATTTGTAATAAGAGAAAAAAAAGTTTTGATGTTCTGTTTTTTTTAAAGTCATAATTTTGCAACAGACGATCAGTCTCCTTTGTTAAAGTGAGAGGTTAAACTTTAGAGTAAATTTCACAAAGGATATTTGACATCGTCTCATCAGCTCCACATGATCTGAAGTATCAGAAACTGAAGAAAGTTTCACTTAAATTTCATCTCTTCAACCTTTTTTAAAAATCTAATCAAATCTTAAATGTGCATCTCATTTTTAGAAAACTAGACTTTTAAATCTTTCCATAAAAGAAATCTGTAAATAGAAAGAATCGGTGTTGCGTGCAGCTGAGTTCAGAGGAGACCCACCTCCTGCTGAGTCCATATCAGAGTCAGAGATGTGAGTGATGGAGAAACGGGAAACGTTGGAGGGGGAGACGGTGAAGCGGGAGAACTGAACGACCGGTTTGACGTCTGGGGTTTTGGGGACGGAGCGAGTGGGGGGAGAGTCGGATGCTCCTGAGGATGTTGGGAGAGGCAGGAGGGGAAAGTCGTCCTCCCACTCGTACCCTGCACCTGAGGAGACGGTGAGAAACATCTCGTCTTTATTCACATCTTCACTATTTTTAAAAACATCTGTGCTTGTGCTTACTCTCTTCTGAGATGTTCCCATCAGAGGAGTCGTCGGAGGCATTGACTCTCTCTTTGGATTTGCTGTGTGAACTCTGACCCTCCGCTCCCACGGGGAAGCTGTGCTCACTCAGCTCTTTAGTCGGACTTTCCTGGAAACAGCGAAGAAGAGACCAGTGAAGCTCATGTTATATAAACTCTACATCACATCTGGGTGAGTCAGTTAAAGCTGTAATACTTCATTCTTACCACTGGGGGAAACATAACATCACTTATCGACTTCTTGACTTTTTACAAATGGAGCGAACATGGAGCAAAATAATAATTAACTGTGAATCACGTGTCTGCAGATAAATCTAGTTTGTTTGATAATTAGCAGGATTAAACAAAAACTACAGGACGTGGGAATTTAAGGAGCAGTTAAAAGTTTGGTTTGATTTCTTAGATAATTGAGAGGGAATCTTTAGAAGAGTTGATGTTTCGTGTAGATGCAAATAAACATCTATTGAATTTGAACGTGGTTTCATACGTTCATTCTTTGCGACTCACTTGATCGAACAGGTAGACGGTGACATCGTCAAAGAAAGACACGGTCTTCTTCTTGCGTTCCAGCTCCTCCTGCAGGTTCTCCGTTGTGAGCAGCGTCGGCATCTTGAGGAGGCTTCGCAGTTTGTGGGCTTCGCTGTCGTCGCTCACCACAATGGGCACCGGGTGGCATTCCTCCTCGCTCTCCTCCCCGCAGCTCTGTTCCTGCATGCTATAGGATCGCAGCTCCTCATCGGACTCATCGCTGTCGTCTGTGTCGCCGTCCTCCTCATCGGCCTCTTCCCCATCGGCTGGAGACCCTCGGCCGTCTGTTGCAGGGAGCGGAGGTGGAGGGGTTGACGGAGGTGGAGGAGAGGAAGCAGAAAACCGCCGGGTGTTTGCCGTGTGCTGCAGGGCCACCTCGTCTTTGGGTAAAGAGTGGGGGATTTCACCAGATGTCCTGGTTTGAATCATCTTCATCACTGGCTCTTTTGTTGGTTCTGAGTCTTCCACGACTTCTGCTTCCTCACTTTCTACCTTAACGTTGTGTGTACTATCTCCATTCAGGGCTCCAAGGGCTTCTTCCATGGCCCCCACCACCTCTGCTGCCCAATCCCCTAGAGATGAGCTCTCCTCCTGGGACGGCCATTCATCCAGTCCTCCCTCTATTGATGCAGTCTCAGAGGGCTCCAGGGGAAGCCCCAACTCCTCATCTGGACAAACCTCAGTCAAGTATTCCTCCATCTCTGCTGGACAAGAGAATTCTGTTCCTTCTGTTGATATTTGCTTCATTTCAACTTTTATGTCTTTGTTTGCTGCAGCGTCTTTAAGTTCTTCCTCACTCTTCCTTTTCTCACCCTTCTTTTCTTCCGTATTTTGTTCATCTCTTACTGTCGATGATGATTCTTCTCCTTCATCCCTGGGCTGCCTCTCACCCTCACAGTCTGAAAAGTAAGCTGAGTCTCTGTACGGGGTTTTATCGCTTAGTGGTGAAAAGATGTGGTCAACTGTCTGAGAGTCTCCTGAGGCCACATCTTCACCCAGTGATGGTTCATCCTCTTTGGCCTCCTCCAGCACCTCGTCCTCCTCCAGGCTTGTATCTAGAGTAGGCTTTGCCAGAGGTTGTTCTCGGGGTTCATGAGGCTCTTTGGGTACAAACTCTGGGCTCTCGTTGTTTTCTGTGTCGTAGCCACTGTCCATAGCTTTAGGTGAGCTGGACGGGTGGGAGGAGGCAGGGCTGAAGCCTTCAGAGGACCCAGCTGCAGATGGTAGATCCATGGAATCCATGGAATCGGGAGTTCCTACCTGCTTCTGTAGAGACTTGAAGGCAGGTGAAGCATTCAGCTCACTGGACTCGTCAGCAAAGATGCCTGAGGTGACGTCGGTGATATCCTCTGTGATGTCATCATCATCCTCCTCTTGCTCGTCATCGTCACTGCAGTCGAGAATGTCAGCGAGGCAAGCACTGGAGCTGCCTTGATCAACACCGCTGTCTCCAGTGGGACTAAAGTCTGACTGCGGATCTGTGAGCGCCACCATCACGTGCATGTTGTCGGCAGGAGGCGGAGGGATTTTCGTCATTGTCAGCGTCACCTCTTCTATTTTAGGTTCTGTCGTTTTTTGCATGATGAGGTTTTCCTTGATTACATCCTCCCTCTTCTCTCTGAGTGGGCTACCATTAGTTGTCAGGTCGATATACTGCTCTCCACGCTCCTCAGTCTTTATCAAGGTAGGTTTGGCCACAATGGGACCCCCTGGAGCCGGTGATAGATTGATCATCTCCTCGTTGCATGGGGTGTCAATGATCTTATCTCGGATATAGTTGCTGTGACTGTAGCTGTTGTTTCTGACGAGCAAACCGGTGAGCGGGTCAACAAAGTGTGAGTGGCAGCACTCTCCAGACGCTGGCACCTGAGTGTCGCCCTCGTGGCACAAGTAGATGTAGCTGTTGCAGGTGTCTGAAGGCACCATTGCGTGGTGTTTGCTCAGACTGAGGCAGGCACTGTTGTCTTTGGCCTGGTGCGGCTCAAGGTAGTCAAGAGGTTTGGGTAGAGAGTGGAAGGCCAGGCTGTTCTCCTCTGGCCAGGAGTCCTCAATGTCAGTACTTGGCATGGTGTAGTGGAAATCTACATAAGCGTCCTGTCTACAGCTGTGGCTTGCCCGTCGGTGGTGACCCACGCTGCTGTGGCGGTGTTTTGAAGGCCACGTGTTGCAGGTGTGTCTCTCAACAAATATATCCTCCTCTTCTTCATCTTCTGAATCGCTGTCTCTGTGCCCGATAAAGAGCGCCCCCTCTGTCTCCATGTTGATACTGACCGAGTGGCTGTTGTGCCTTGTGTGGCTAGGCATAGTCTTCCTGAGCGAGCCCATCATGTCGTAGTAACCTCCAGTCACGTTCTTTCCAATGATGGAGGTCTGACTTGTGTCCAGGTATGAATCTCTGAAGGCCTGTTGAGGTGGACTGGTCACAGCGCGGGTAACACCCAGCGGGTTCTCCAACTCACCCAAGGCCTGACGCAAGCTCCTTGACCCCCAGCTTTCCTGATGGTGCTCACTAGAGTGCTCACTTCCAATCAGATAGTGGTCTATTCCCAAAGGTGGTGAGTGCTCATAGTAGTAACCTCCATCTCTGTCTTTATAGGACACATAGTGACTGGACTCCCAGGGTCGTAGGGGGCTGTTGTGCGACACTTGTCCTAAAAGGGGCTCCATTGTCAGGGAGATGGCTGGACTCGAGTCATTGGAGTCATACACATCGGACTTACGGATGTCTGCTGCCCAATAGGGAGCCATGACCATGTTCTTAGCTTGAGACGGACAGGCCATGCACTCGCCTGAGTCTGCACTCCCGGTAAGGAAGCTCCCACTGCTGCCCTGATACTCTGGGCTGTAGGAACACATGGTATAGTCCAGATCGATGTTACAATCCACTGGCTCTTCAATGCGGATGTAGTATTCACTGCTTACTGAGGGGCTATGGGCACTAAGGACAGGGAGAACGCCAGGAGCATGTAGATGTTTTGGTTGGTAGTAAGAAGGAGAAACTGCGTGGCTGAGGCTCTCCATAGGGCAGCCTCCAACAATGCCCCCTGGTGGATAAAAGGCTTCCTGGCAATGATGGTTGACCTGACCCAGGGTACTGGAGGAGTCCTGGCCTCTATAGGACTGGTCTGTTCTGGCTTGCTCCCACTTGTACTCAAAGTTCAGGCCATGGCTGGTTTCGGTGACTGTTAGTATGTCATCCCCAGACTCCGAGTGGTAGCCATCACCTGCTGAAAACTGCTCGAGGAGAGGGAAGGAGGAGGAGGTGGACGAGGGGTGGTCTTGTGACATTGCAGAGGCACCGTGGTGGCTGTTGAATCCAGTGTTGGGACACAGCGAGTTCCAGCGCCTCTCAAAGTCCTCCTCTGCTTCGCTAGCCCCCTTGGCACAAAGGTAGCTGAGCAGCAGGTGGACTTCCTCTGCATTGGGTCTCTGATCAGGCTGGAGCCAGCAGAACTGCATCACTTCATACCTGAGGAGCACAGAAGCATGAAAAACAGACAAACTGTGAGAATATAGATCAGATTTAAAATGTTTTTCATTCCAGCAAATAACAGAAACATCTTAAAACTCAATAAATTCGTTGACTCAATTGTAATAAAGGTTCTGAAAAGAGGAGACAAAAGTTTCCCAGCTGAAGGAAACTAAACCAGCAGGATTAGCATATTAATTGGAATCTGCTGAAGAAATGAGAATCCACTCAAGCTGGAAGGGATTTTAATTGTGTTGTTTGTTCTCCTGAGGGGCCGTTAAATAAATAATTCTATAATTTATTGCACTGTCATGTTTCAACACAGAGGAGAACAGATATCTGGTGTCAAAGCTGCAGCATCACCGTCAAAGACGTTTAGCTTCTTGGGACAATTCACGCAAACCTGGTGTAAAGCAACATCATAAAAGCTGAACCCTGAACCTGAGTTCAAACTACTCTGGGTCCTTACTGCAAAGCTAGTAGCGACATATACGAAACGATTGATCGCTGTAACTAAAGCAGAAATCTAAGAAATATTAAATCAGGGACTGAGGACTTATTGTTCATCTTCTTTACATTCTTCTTTCAGTTTTCTGTTATAAAGCAAAGTTTGTAAATAAAGTTGAAAGGAAAAAATACGGAGGCGTATTGCATTTTTTTTCTGTTTTTCTGAGAAAAAATGTTTCTGTTTTTTTTTCGAAGAATTTTTTTTTTCTGTTTTTGAGAGAGATTTTTTCTGTTTTTTCTGAAGATTTTTTTTCTGTTTTTCTGAGAATTTTTTTTTTTTCTGTTTTTCGGACTAATTTTTGTCTGACTTGTTTGGCTAAATTTGCCCGAAAAATAGAAGAAAAAGAAATTTCTTCGAAAAACAGGAAAAAAATTCTCAGAAAAACAGAAAAAAAATTCTCAGAAAAAAAATAAATTTCTCAGAAAAACAGAAAAAAAAAAAWTYYYSGRAAAAMMRRAAAAAAAAAAAAATCTCAGAAAAACAGAAAAAAAATTCTCAGATAAACAGAAAACATTTTGGGGGGAAAAAGTGAATGCAATACGCTTCCGTAGATGTGATGCTGTAAGTAAAGTTATTATTTTAAAGAGGTGTGATAGTTTTCTATGGGCTCTGTATGTTCTGATTTTGTGCTATTTGAATGAAATAAAACTGAATTAAATGAAATTATTCTTTATTTCTTCCATTGTGTCCATTGACAGTTTCAAAAGAAACATCGTTATTTAAGATCTTGGCTTAACCTGCTATTTATATTAAATGTTATGATATGTTGACATATATATATATATATAAATATACATTCACATTGTTTTTAAGCGTAACACCTTTTTAAGATGTAAATGTGTGTGTCTGCGTCTCACCAGCGCTCAGCCAGCGGCACCTTGAGCAGTGGTTTGGGAAGTCGCAGCTGCTGCTCCCTCACAGCGTAGGTGAGCACCTGTCGGTCGGAGTAGTGTCTGTAGGGCTGGTTCCCCAACTCCAGCAGCTCCCAGATCGTCACACCCAGAGACCTGAGACACAGGAGAACACGTCCTGCTGCTCCATCAATCAATCACTTCATTTGTACACATACGTATAAATATATTCTGGAAAGGACTATAGGCCAATGTGCGTTCATCTGTGCGTGTGTTACCAGATGTTGCTCTGCTGGGTGTTGTCTGCCACCAGCACGTTTCCATGCACCTCGTCCACCAGCTCTGGAGCGATCCAGCGCAGCGGCACGTACATCTGATCTGAGGTCAGGTAGTAATCATCCTGACAGGAGACAAAATATTAACAGGCAGCATTAAATCTTCAGCATCTTAAACAAGGAAACTCATTGTTGACTTGTTAATCATCTTAAATTAGATTCTAACAAGTTACATGAGCACAGGGAATAAAGTCATCGGTGAAATGTGTTTTTTATGTTAATAACTTCACCAGAACCACTTTGTTTGTGTTTCTTTTCCAGATTCATCCAAATACTCTGAATTAACATAATAATACAGTTTCTGTTCAAGTTTTTCTGATGAACAGACCTTGTACTTGGTGTGGGACAGGCCATAGTCTCCGATCTTCACTGAAGCATCAGCAGTTAACAAGCAGTTCCTCAACGCCAGGTCACTGGAGACAGAGGGGTTTGTGGGGAGGGGAGAAGGAGGAGGAGTCTCATCATCATTCACACACAGGCTAAACAAGATATTGGAGGAGGCTCGTATTTCATGAAGCAGAAAAATATTTAGAAGACCTGTGTGCAGACTGAGAGCAAACTGAAATAATTCAGGTGGTTTGAGTGGTTCTGGAGACGAGGGGTCACCGCCTGCAACAAAATCACTGATGCTGGAGTCTGTAAGAGCACTCAGGCAGCACCAGGATATTGTTTCAGGAAGCAACCGAGAAGCAAACGGAACATTTAACCAAACAGCTTGATTCTGGCCTATACATTATAAAACGAGTGATCTCTACGAGCAGACACGTGTCCTTACCTGTGCGTGAAGTTGTGTTTGTGCAGATGCAGGAGTCCTGAGGCGACGTCACAGGCCATCCGCTGAAGAATCAAGGGCTCGGGGGTCATGGTCTCTGCAGTCCTGCAGCTCCGGAGGTAACTCTTCACATCCCCCTGGAGGACGCAGAGACAGAAAACATCTGTATGTTACAACCTCTGACCACTGGACGGCAGTCTGCTCTTTGTGCTGTGGTTAATGGGGGGGCACTCGTTTCTTGGTTGTGTAACGTCTTGGTGTTAGAACCAGTCAGTCAACCAACAGACTTCACAGACTCTAAGTCATTGATTTTTGATTTTCTGGGATGAGTTACTGAAATCACTTGCTTGGTGCGGCTCTACGGACTTTATGATTTACACTGTCTACAGTCATCACCCTAAATAATGAGGTTAAGTGCTGCAAGAATAAAAAAAATCTGAAATTGAATTTCAACTGTAAACATTATATTTCATCAGCAGCCAGTAAGTTGAAAGCTCTGAATTGGAAGATAAACAGTTCTTTGATTATTTCAACTTCACCACAAACGTTAAATTTACAAATCATCGCGTGGAGCTGACGTTAGATTATCTGCTGCAGTTTGAGTCTCATTATTGTAGAATAACTTCGTGGCGACTTTGGGCTCAGATGAAAAACATTTACAGCAGCTGCCAAGAATGTTTTGTTGATGAATGTAATTAATTATAAAATCCCATAAACTAAATGTGTAACGTAGGAAGGATGCAGAATGTCAGTTTAAAGCAAACGACAGGTTCTTTTATAAATAACATATTTAATATTTTAGTGTTTGAAATGTTTTTAAATGATATGACAGATTTCCAATGAAGGAACACAGTTGGTGGAACTGCTCCTTTTCAGATTGACCCATTAAAAGTACATTTCTACCTTGAGCTGACACCTGGTGTGTTATTACCTCAGAGGTTTAATGTGGATTCATATTGTTTTTGAATAAATTCACTCACCAGTGGACAAAACTCCATCACCAGCAGGTAGGGGGTGACCTCGGTGCACTGAGCCAAACACTGCAGCAGAGCGGGATGCTGCAGGACGCTGCAGAGCAGAGGACCAGTTGAACACAGAGTTTGGTTCTGTGACACAAACATTACTGCACACAAACATACTGTAGAAACAAGCTGTATCAATTAGAACCTTTTATAAATGTAACTGGAACAATAATGAGGGATTGTGACTATTTGAAAAGTTATAATTATAATTGGATGATTTACAAAAAGCATTAAGAATTAAGAATTTTACAACAATCAAGAAGATTTTCTTATGAGTCGTGAAAATGAAGATCTCCAAACTGGAGAAATGTAAACGATGATAAACGTTAAAAACACGTCAAACTCTTCGTTACACATTCAAAGACACATTTGATCTGATGTAAAGTTGTTTTTTTCATTATTCCTGAGGAGCTGACTTTAATATTTTATCACACATTTATCTCCTGCATTAAAAACTCAATCTGCATTAACAAGATATCAGTCTCTCCAAAAGTTTGATACATCTAGTGGACGAATCAGAAGAAATAAACATACTCTCCTCAAGTTTCTCAGAAATGTATCAGATGTGAACATGTACCGAAAAGGCTGGGCCTCCTCCAGGAAGTGCATCTGGTCCTGCACACTGGCACTGGACTTGAGTTCCTTCACTACCACTTCAGTGGTATTCAGGCCTGTGTTCACCTCCCCCAGCAAAACCTGAAACAGCCCAGACGGAGACAGATACGCACATGGGAAGACGCACAGATGGACATTTACACACAAGCAAACCGAGGACGGGAGGAGGGACGGTGACACAGAGACACAAAACAACAGGTGAAGCAACCATGCAGGAGTTCAAAGAAGAGAAGGAGAGAGAGAGAAATGCAGACAAACAGATACAGATGGACGTACCGAGGATGGAGAGGATGTCAATTCATGAACGTACAGAATGAAAAAGAGGAGAAACAGAGAAGAGAGAAGAAGAGAGAGTGACAACAACATGTTATCTGTTTGTAAGAACACACACACACACACCCAACACACACATAAACACACACACAGCGTGTCAGACCTGCTGAGACTCACCTTCCCAAACCAGCCATTCCCGATCTCTTTCAGGTAGAGGAGACTGTGGCGGCTGAGGTCTGTGGATTTCAGGAGATGGACTGATGAAAAGAAAAGGAGAGAAGAGGAGGAGGAGGAGGTGTTAGAGATAAACATCCACCGACAGTCTCCTGGAGGCGTCTTACAAACCTGTGGTCATGTGTTCTTTAACACAAATAACATCATGTCACATTACGGCCAAACATGACGACGTGTTTGTGTCTCAGCACAGAGAGACTTGGTCTCCATTCAATTCAACATGACACAAATTCAGTTTGAGACGTCTTTGACTTGTTTGATTTGATCTCACTGGACATGAAACACTGATGACGATGTAACATGCTGAAGATTTTACAGTTTCAAGTGACGGAGCGTCTTCTGACTCGTTAAGAACGCACCACATCCAGGTTTTTAAGTGGCCGCAGTAGAATCCGTCTTCTGTGCGATGGATTGACAGAAACCATCTTTAAGATGAAGCATCCTGCTGTGGCACTGGACATCGTTCGTGCTCCACAAGTTGACGACACAGACTCGAGTCTTCGGTCTTATTCTGTCCTCAGCCTCCCCCGGCACCGATCTGTCCGACTGTCCTCCGACTCTCTGATGCATCTCTGACAGAATCCCCCCCGAGCCTCTGCCGCTGTGCTGTACCCGACCGTCCTCAGCCAAATGAAACGAGAGTGACGGCTCTGTCCCACCGTCTCCCACCCTTCACCATCTATTCTTTCTTTCTGTATCTCCCACGATGACACTTAGATTGTGGGTGCAGAGGCAGACAGAGACATCTTTGTGATGCTGCGTTCCCCCTCCAGACTCAAACACAGTCTCGTCCCTGTGCTGAGGCCATATTGGACGCCCCCATCTCCTTCCCCCAGACTGGTCATTCCTTGCACCCACTCACGCTCTCTCCATCCCAAAGCAGAATACCCACCATTGTCTGGCTGCTTGGGGCAGCATGGCACCAGTTAGGACCAGTTAGCGCTCACACACTGGGGCTATTATCCACCAGCGTCTTGACATAAGAATGAACTGAGAGTTGTTGATAACAGCCACATACCTTCACCACCATGTTAACCTCAAATGCTCACGACACGGATTGTACAGTGAGGGGAAGACGAGGAGAATGAGCGGTTTCTGCCTTGATTGTCTCATTTCTATGGGATCATTTAAGATTTTCATGAGAGGAAAAATTGTTTTTTTCCCTAAGATCCTCTGTGACGAGCTGAAAACACCTTGACTACCCTGTTAAGTTCTCAGATGTCTTTACAGCCAATCCACTAACTCAATTTCCATTTGTCAGAGCCGTCTGCCCTTTTCTCAGCATCTCTCTGAAGAACGCTCCTGTAGCTTAATCTCTACAGTAGCCAGGAAGTCTTTAGCGAGATGCACAGCAGCTAAATCACTCAGAGACAAATGGAATTCCCATTATCCTCTTTCACTCCGGTGCACTCTCTGCTGAGCTGCTGCACCGTCCTCGGACCATCATTTAAATTCACTTTCTGACGTCTGCCCCTTGTTGTTGAGTTACTCTCTTAGAGGGGGATGGGTGCAGGTGATTGTTGTTATTGTGCAGGTTTCAAAGTGTTTGTCAGGAGGATGCTCCTGAAACATGTCTCTGCTCTAAGTGGGGAGCAAGTAGAACTGGACTTGTTTCTGCTGCGCCGTGTTTTCACCAGTGTTCACGTCTCCTGTGGGTGTGTGTGAGCTCCATTAGTCTTTGCAGAGCAGCCCGCAAAATCAGAACAGCTGCATCAGGGTGGATCTTGGGGACTGGACCGAGTTAAGCACTCACAGCACTGGGGTCTCAGTGGGAACTCCACCTATCACATAGTCCGTCCACAGCCCCAGTGCTCGGCCACATGACAGGAGATGGGAACATTGGCAGAAAGTAACCACTCTTACTCAGAGTACTTTGTCTGCCTCAGCTCTCAGGAATCAGTAGAAATTACAAATGACAGGTGAAAAGCAAACTGAAGACCTTTTCATGACAGTGTTTTTTCTCTTCATAATGACTGAATTCCCCTGTTTTCACTCTTTGTCTCCGTATGTTTTAGTGTTTGAGCTACAAGATCCAGATAAAAAGACAGAAACTGGCACCAAGCAGAGATGGGAACGATTAGTTTGGAGTAAAGTAAGACGGATGCACAGTTCTCAATGAAAAACAATTCGTTATAATGATGTCAGTGGGTGGGGCTCCCTGAAGGTGCAGTAATAAATCCCTGACCTCTCCTCCAACACTTCTATTATTTACAGATGACAGAGAATGATTCAGACATTAACAGACAACAGTGAGAAGTCGTGCAGATACTTTGGGTTTTAACTGCCGTGAAAATGTTTCACTATGATTTGGTTTTTAATTGAACTTGAACTCACAAGTGAAATTCCATGAACCTTGGTCGTACTGAAGCATCAAAGCTCCTGCAAATAAAACCAAACCTATCAAAGAGTGGATACAACAAGGAGGAGCCAGCTGTTGTCTCTCAGTCCTGGACTAAAGAATGGAAGTTTAACGACAAACAAACAAATCAAATCTGAGTTAACCGCTCGGGTGTGATCCTTCAAGTCTCACCACACTCCAGTGTCAGATTCATCAGGCAGCATCAGCCCATCAACACAACGAGGCCATTGTGACACAGTAGCAGAGGGAGAGAAACAAGGCGACAGAGTGAACGAGGGATCTTCTCACTGGGGTTTTGTGCTCTTGCATGCCTGACATACCAACATGCAGCAGTGTAGGCTGGCTGCCTGCACCAGATTACGCAACAGGCAGATGTCTGTGGGAGAGAGTGAAAGTTGAAGAGCACAGAGTTCATTCTGAAGGGACCTGCAGCGAGGGATTGTGGGATAGGTGGAGGCCCAGCTGGCCGAGGCCAGTGTCAGGGCGGTGCTCACTCCGGGGACAAACTTTGACAAATGCCAGATACCCGGCCCTCCTCGCGGTTACATCATCACCTCACACTCTTAAAATGCACACGCATGTGTCTCGTGCACTTCTACAAAGCTTGTGCGTGGTTTGAATTAGTTTCCAGCAAAGAAACATAAGTTACAAGAGCACTGACAAAACCATGAAGATGATATCACGCTTCGAGATTTTATCTTTTTGACGGAAAAGAAAACGTGTCAATAAAAGTATTGTGAAAGATTTAGTGAGAAGATTGAAGATCACGTTTTCACAATTTTCATATTTCCTCTTCTGGTGTGATTCTTTAAACTCGAGACTTTTTCATGAATGCTCCACTGGAATTACTGTGAACAAGTTTAATCAAGTATAACTTCCCATTTATTAAAGTTTTCTTTTATAGTCAGAGCCACCGGAGGATCCGTCTGACCCGACTCACCTGAGTGAGCAGGTTGCTTGGCGATTGGCAGCGACACCTCAGTGAGGGGCAGGATGTAGACGTCCAGGCTGCCCTGGGAGGCCGGCGAGGCCAAGGTGGACATGTCTGCGTGGTACTCCTCCCCGTCCACATTCTTGAATTCCTGGAAAACACAGGCACAAAAAAAAGCCTATGAGGTCAAAGGTCGTTGCTTTGATTAGACCGACAGCTGGTGACTAACGGCTCCTTCACCTGTAAGATCACACGTGAAGAGACGATGATTTGAAAGTGGAAACAAAACTCACAACGTCATTTCAAAAGCAAAAGAAAATGACGCGATCATAATTGGACGAGTTGATTTAGGCTCGACAAGTGAAGCAGAACTGAGATGAAGTGAAACAAGCTGTTCTGGCTGGTTCAGTGTTTCTCTGAGCTGTTTGTCAGACTGTTGGAACATCCCAGCGTAAACAAAGCCGGTCTGATTCACCCGCAGATTATTTACACTACGATTACAAATATCTAAATCCTCTACTTCACAATTAAGCCTGAAGATTTGATGTTGAGATACTTTCTGAAAACTGGACAGATGCGTCTCGGTGACTCACTCTCACTCAGAAAGAAGAGTTATTTTTTCCAATCAGAAAGTGACCATGCAGAAAAGCAGGTTTAACTTTATTTACTGTGCTTCTATAAGACGCCCCCTGATCCAGCGCTCTGCCTCACAGACCCCGAACGGCACCGAGCGGAGGAGTGATCGATTAATCTTCACAACTCTGAGTGGACAAGAGAGATTCATGTTTGCACTGGAGACTCTGATCGTCTGATCCCACTCACATCACTAGAAACAGAGAACCCCTCGCATGTATTATACACACACACACACACACACACACACACACACACACACATATATATATATATATGTAAATCAAGCTACCTGAAGAACTGACAAGAAGTGGCTGCAAACGTTTCCACAACAAAAAACTACTCTGTCATCACACAGATGCTTTTGCAGATGAAGAATAACAAGAATAAAGAATCTGAAATGACATGAAACTTTAAATATGAAACATATTTATCTTTCACAGGATCTAAAACACAAACTCCTCAGTGACAAATTAAAACCTTTAAGGAAAAGGACAGTTGCATCACTCTTTAAAAGCTGAAGACTGAATTCATGATTGTTTCAGTTCAAACTTGTTGCATGTGTTTAAAAATCAAATGAATCAATTTAATGTGAAGGATTCTTGCTTTTTTGTGTGTTTGTGTGTTTGTACTGAGCTGGAGAATCAAAGAGGAGCCCTGAAAGAGTCTGTGTCTGCTGATCTGATCGTAGAGACACATCACAGGAGAAGAGGAGGAGGAGGAGGAGAAGAGGAAGAGGAGGAGGAGGGAGCTGGCTGCATCCTCACACCGGATGTCAGAATAAAAGTCTCTTAGTTTGGAGCTGGAGAGCAACAGGGTCGCAGTGCTGGAAAAATGTGACCCGCTGCAGCCCTCTGCAACACCCACACACACACACACACACACACA